GCGAAGGTGGAAGAATAGAACGATACGCGTGTACTGCGATTGACTGGTCAGTGTGTTTTGGTATGGGATATTGTGCTCATGTAGGCGATCTCGCGGTCGCCGTAGCACGACTCACTCGATGCCCCTCTTGGGCATACACCCGGCCGATGACGGTAATGTACCAAGGATCCAAAGCATGTTGATAGTGAACCCGGTGATAAGGGCTGGACGAGATCACATGACCTCTCGCGGCGTCCCTCTCCCCAGCATGTATCGCGTACAGCGGTGAGATTTGCACGGAACGCCCGAAGGAACGGTCGCCCAGTGCCCTGGAGGGGAAGTTGATTCGTGCTGCTACTCGTCCAGCCACTCAGAGGACGCGACAAGAACCGGTGGCAGGGACCCCCAGCTGCCGCTAGCCGCTCTGGGAAACATATGGGTCCTCCCGCCTTACAGACTCACCGTCGGAACAACCTCACCTTCTGTGTCGCTTTTACACGACTTCAGCATCCGCATAGGGTGTATACTCTTCAGACACCACGGACCGATCACGAACTTGGTGATGCACCGCGCAATTTGGGTGTTGGCAGCATCTCTGCGGTGAGCTCTCTGTCACTGCAACATGGCAGTGCTCCAAACGGTGTGAAACATTTGACTCTACGCTACAGCGACAGGCCAACTCGGTAGATGGAGTCGAAAGAAGATGTCGCGTAATGCACACCTGGCTAGCTTCTTTGACGCTTGCTGGACTGCGAAACACTGATTCGTCTTCGTTGATCTCCGCCAACCAGGCGTAACACAGCCATGCTGGGCAAGGAGACATTCCGAAGCAGACGAGCCACTATGCCTGATACCGCAATACAACGCCTCAGCTGCTCATAGCCTTCCTCTTGGCCATGCGTATTTCCTACATGAATCAACGGGTCAAAGAATAAGAGTTGTCGGGACATTGATGGACATCAAGAAGGGCCTATAGGAAAGAAGAGTCTCCTGGTGCCACGGCCGTGGGACTCTGATTCCTGCCGCAGAGGCTTGTTCAGCCCAGGTGTTGCCGTAGGTGGACAACTGCAGCAGCCAACGGCCCCGTTAGCCTGCGTTCTGGGTTTGAATTGCTGACGCGGGGTCGGGGTAAAAGGTACCGTCTGCATATCCCACCAACTTGCGCCGCAAAGTCGACAAGGTATCATCTAGCTCATTGAGACATCTCCAATGAGAGAGCAGGGTGGACAATGCAATTGTCTCTCACGCCACGTTACACACTTACAGTTCGTGTGGCATTGTCGACAAGCATACCCCTTGCCATTATCTGGACGCTGTTAATTGAGCGTTGTAGTTGAATACAGACAGCGAAGTGGGGAATGTCTCTTGGGCGAGGGGACATGAGTTCCGATGTCTGAGGCGAAGAGCTCCACAGACGTCTAGACAGACTTGATGCCCCACTCATATGGAAACCCGACATCGAAGCGAACAGCCCTGGAGAGCAGCTGAGTTGCGATAGTCGATAGCTGAGGTCGAGGTCTCGACACACGTGGCATAGCGATCTGCCCTTTTCCCTCTTTGATGGGTAGCGCGAGCGTGCCAACGCGTGTGTGTCTCAGTCCTAGATCACCAACGTACACACGGTTCGCTCCTCCTATCCCCGTTAATCGGCCCCCGCAATCTCGATGCTTCATGCAATGGTAGTACCAGTGATAACACCAACCATATCGCGTGTGCGGACTAATCCCAGTGCAAGCTGAGGATAGTCGCTATTTACCAACTGCAGGCTCTAGGACCAACGGGACGGTGTACCTTTAGATCTGAGCAGCTAGCGCGCCACCAAGCTTTGAAACGACCGGTGGTTTCTTTACAGCCGCCACGCACAATTGGACGAGATAAACTCTGCAGTAGGCTCGCCCAGGCCATATATAGCAGTGGTTGTTGAGAGAGTGGCAGCAGATGTCGAGTAGAAGCAGGATGTAGTACCAAACATTTGTCAAAATTTCAGGAACGACATCAGGGCGAAAGGCAAGAAGAAGCGCTTTGAAACTGTACCTTACCTGATCGAAGATACTCTGGGACGTGTCACATAGGCGGCTCAGTAAAGGCGCAGCTACAGAAGGCGTGAAGCCGACAAGGCTCGACCGCCAGGCGTAGGGCGTGCCGTTGTAACAACGGCAACAAGACACTAGCAGAGCAATCTGCCAACAGCAAATGGGTTCAGGGCGTGTCTGGCAGTGTTTCTAGATGCGCATTTCCTATGATGATTGGCTTCTCCAGTGTCGTTGGTGGAAACATGGCATGGCTAAGCTTTGGGCTGACTGCCGCTATGCGCCTTTTGGCTCAGACCTCACCGACACTGCAGTAAGGTGCTGATGCGGCTGCGGAAGAACATGGGACAGTGCGTAGGGCTGGTGGAATGCGACGCTCGTCTGAAGGGGCCTTTGGGGCTCTTTGAGTGGTGGCGCTGTTGCGGCAGCGTACTTTACTTAGGCACGGCGTGACAAAGCAGCTAAATGCATCGACGGTAGCTGGATGCAGGATATGGTCTCCATTCAGCAGGCTTCCTGATTCCCACGCGCAACGGCGGAGGGACGGAGTTGAGGTCGGGAGCAGCAGGACAGCAGTCGGAGGGGTCGGAAGGCTAGTGAACGGCGACGTCGAGGTGTCGCGGTGTGGCATGCCGTCGAGAGGTTGCGCATGCACGACGAGGCCGCGGGCAGCAGCCAATGGCGGCGGGGGCTGGACGAGTGTGATGATCTGGTGTGAGCCGGTCAAGGCGCAATTTACCCACGCAGCAGACAGACAGCAAGACGTTTGCGTTCGTCGCCTTTTGGCCCCCATGTGCGGGCGGCGCTGTGGAGGCTGGACGCCCCATTCACCCTCGCAGCTCGCAGGCTCGGACGAGAGCCGAGGCGTGATGATAGCGACGCTCGCAACACGTCGACGCATGCGGGAGGGCATACGCACGCCGCACGCAGGGACGGAGATAATGACAGACCCGGCGCCGCGAGGTTCAGTGACGCCCCGACCGCGACAGCGACAGGCCCCAGGGTCATAGGGCTGTCTGTGATGTGCACTGCGCCAGGAGCCAGGGTAGCAGGGTTGGTGGGGACGCGACAGGGAACCGCCGCGACGACATGGGACGACGACATGGGACGACGACACCGCTCTCCGCTAGGGAGCTTTGGTTTCAATACACTCGCGCCCGACGCTTCCGTGCCCTCAGCTGCCTGTCTGCCCGTCCCTCACTGGCCTGCTGCCATGCTGCGCTAGCGCCCATACTAAATTTACAAGACCGCAGTCGGTCAAAGTACACCGGCCAGGGTTGCTCCAAATCGTACCAAATTGAGAAATGCTCAAGCGGCCATCGCGTAGCCCAGGGTGCATGCGAGAGGCCTGAAGCTGGGGACCAACACTAGCCAGTCTGTGCTCCACAAGAACGACTGCGGACGCAACATGGACGGCGAGATAAATATACTGTCATCCCCGACTGCCAGACTGAGCCTCTCTCATCCCACTGATAACAAGACATCCCGCTGCACTGCTGCTGCTTGCTCCCTCATTCCTTCACCTGCAAATGCTCCCCACATCCAACATCACCATGCACCGACACGCTGCCTACCCATATGCCCAACCGGCGCCCACTACCACCAGATACTCGGGCACCTCGTCAGCCTTCTCTGCGTCGGCAAACCCCAATGAAGACTGGACCAAGATCTCCGATCTTGCTGAGCGCAGGCGGATACAGAACCGCATTGCCCAGCGCAACTACCGCAAGAAGCTCAAGAAGAGGCTCGAAGACCTTGTAAGTTCTTGTGCTACCAACCCTCGTATTGCTCGGAACGCCATACTAATCCGGTTGCAGGAGCGTCGTGCTGCCTCGAGCTCAGCTTCACCTGAGCAGAAGCCTGCCGAGCTGCAGCCACCACAGCGATCCCCGCGCCAGGAGTTTCCCTCTCCGTCGTCTTCGGAATCCTCGTACACCACCCCGCCTGCCGAGGATCGGGGCATGTTCTCGCACCAGTACACGCGCCAGCTTTCCACCAGCCCACCTCCCTTCTCCGTAGCGTCGTATTCGTCGGCCTACCCAGCGCCAGATGCAGTCGCCTACTCAATGCCGTACTCCACCTCGCCCTACCACACAATACCGACAACCCTCACACCGGAGATGTCAAGCTACACCTACCTGCCGCCACCCCACTCGTCCGCCTACTCCACTGGCCTACCTAGCCTGGTGCCCAGCATGAAGAACGAGTACTACGGCGACGAAGAGATGAGCCCTTTCGGCGTCGGCTACGCGGCCATTTGCGGAAACGAGATTCAACCACCACATTCATACGCAGACTCAGTAAGGCTCCCCACTCGCCAGCCCTACTACGCATGAACGTCCAACTCTTGCACTCGCCGCCGCTGCCTCGACGAGCCGCCGCTGACAGCCGCCGGTAGAAGACACTGTCTTTCGACTACCCGACGACGCCCAACTCCATGCCCCGCACACCTCCGCTGCCCCTTCTCTACTCCATGTGAGCAGGCGGCGGTGGTGCGCGGGCCCTGATTTCTCTTCTCTCGAGACGCAGTCTCTTTCTTCTGTGTTTATAGTTTTCTTGTTTTGCATTTCAGCGATTGGTCGTGTTAGCAAAGGTCCCTCGCTTGACCACGGACATTTGGAGTTTGGCGTTTCCCATCTCTTCACAGAGACTGTTCTATTATGACTGGGACGAAGCTCGCCATGATACGTAGCCCCAGTGCCAGTGCGAGCCTGTGGTTGGATCATACAGCAATGAATATCCTTATCCACTCTACCATATTTTGACATGCAAACAACTGTGAGGCGGTGCGATTAATTCGACATGAGCGTGAAATGTGCAGTGGTGATGCGACGCATGTCGTGACTGCGCGAAGAAAGTGACCCGAGCGGTGAGATCATAGCTCTTTCCGCGCGCGCTCCGCCAAGCCTGTCGCGACGCGTCGTGCCTTCCACTCCCGCGTGGCCAACGTCAGCGACAAAAACCCAATTGCGACCACAACCACCCCCTTTCATGGCTCCCATCAAGCGCTCCCGTGTAGACAAGGCGCGACAGTATCTCGCGGGCGGCGCAGTATTCCGCGAAGACTCCGACGACGAGCTTGGCTACGAAGACCACCCCTGGGAATGGATCTACGACAACAATGGCATCGACGATGCGCAGCCTGAGCAGACTGCCTCGCCAAGAAAGAGAAAGGCTGCGCCCACACCGCTAGCAAAGCGCATAGTCGGTGCGCGCATGGGCAGCTTCAGGTGCAAAGTGGGAGATGCCGTGCTGCTCAAGGCAGAGGGCAACCAGGCATGGGTCGGCATCATCTGCGACTTCCACGAGGACCCGGACGAGGACGAGAAGATGGCCAAGTTCCTCTGGTTCTCCTCTGAGAAGGAACTTCGCAACCAGAGCAAAAAGCGTTCCGATTTTCTTCCCGTAAGTCCGTCGGCCTTTTGCGAAATTATGCCTCTGACATTCAATAGAACGAACTCTACATATCTGCCGCATTCGACGACAACCCGCTAGCCTCGATCAACGGCACTGCCAAGGTATACTCGTTGGAACGTTTCCAGGAGTTGTATCCGGCAGGCGTCAAGAAGACCTCGAAAGACTATGGCAAGGTCTTCGTGTGCCGGAGAGGCTGCAACACGCGCACGACCACATATACACCAGAATTCAAATGGGAGGACGTATACAGCGATGCCAAGGACATCCGATCGCTGGTCGATCTTGTGGAGGCTCAGACAAAAGCCACTAGGAGAACTGCCGGTCGTCCTAAGAAACATCAGCAGCCCGACTTGGACCAGTTCGTGATCCCTGACTCGGACGATGATGACTTGCCAAAGACTCCACGGAAGCGCCGGAAAATTAATGAAGCGACCACCCCCACATCGACTAGGAAAAGCCCGGCTGCGCGCAAATTCCTTACTCCAACGCACAAGAGGATAGTCATCAAGAAGCAATTGGAGTTCACACCGCTTGGCACGCGTGTACTTGACCCTTCGGCCCTAAATTCACCATTCCAGATCGCGCGGAATCAACTCCATGTTTCCTCGGTACCTGCCGCACTCCCTTGTCGTGAGGAAGAGTTCTCCACCGTGTATAGTCATTTGGACGCGGCCATTACGGACGGCTCGGGCTCATGCATCTACATCTCGGGCACACCTGGCACAGGCAAAACGGCAACTGTGCGAGAGGTCGTCGCCCAACTGCAAGCCTCAGTCCAAGCCGAAGAGTTGGATGATTTCATATTTGTTGAGATCAATGGCATGAAGGTCACGGATCCCCACCAATCATACTCGCTGCTCTGGCAGGCACTGCGCGGCGACCGAGTGAGTCCGTCACATGCACTGGAGCTACTGGAACGCGAATTCTCCACTCCCAGCCCGCGCAGGGTTCCCTGCGTGGTCCTCATGGACGAGCTCGACCAGCTCGTCACCAAGAACCAGTCTGTCATGTACAACTTCTTCAACTGGCCTGGCCTGCGGCACAGCAGGTTAATTGTCCTCGCCGTAGCAAACACTATGGATCTGCCAGAGAGAACGTTGAGCAATAAGATCAGCAGTCGCCTAGGTATGTCCCAGCTAGCATAGCGATCCTTCAGGAACGCGCCCCACGCGTTTGGCGTTTCGATCCCTCCTCAATATGCTACAATATCAGAGGGAGACGACGAGGTCTCCCAACGATCTGCGTATCAATTTGATGTTATCGGTGCGACTTGTATCGCCGGGTACGCCCGTTATTTTCCTGGCGAGAGGCTAACACACATCTTCTAGGTTTAACGCGCATTACTTTCCCAGGCTATACACATGACCAACTGATGCAAATTATCCAGTCCCGGCTCGAAGGTGTACCTGGCAATATTGTGCACCCTGACGCCGTTCAGTTTGCTGCACGCAAGGTAGCAGCTGTCAGCGGTGATGCGCGACGCGCGTTAGACATCTGCAGACGAGCCGTGGAAATCGCCGAAGCGGAAACGATATCGCAGGACCGGGACGATGAGGCGCAGCCAGGTACTCCGAGTAGGACCGGTCGGGGTAACAAAGCAAAGCAGCTCCAAGACTCTCGGTCAAATAAAGGTACCGGAGATCCGGATCATCGGTCCAAAGATCGGGCGGGGCGGAAAGGTATAGTTACTATGGCGACGATCAAACAGGCAATCAACGAGGCTACGAGTAGCCCCCTGCAACAGGCGCTGCGGGCTCTACCGTTGGCGTCCAAGGTGTTCCTTGCGGCCCTCTTGGCAAGGATCCGCAGGTCGGGCATTGGCGAAGCGATCCTTGGAGACGTTGTCGATGAAGCCAAACGGTTGGGGCTCATGAGTCAGTTACTGCCTGTGCACGATTACATTCTCGCCCCTGAGAAGGACGACAGAAGCGAAATGATGAACGGCGCAGCAATGCAGCCTTCTACGCCGTCGAAGCATAGGGACGTTGCTACTAATCTTGGCTTGAAGGAAACGAACAACAAGGCAGCAAGAGTACTCGGCCTCGCACTCGCAGCCACCGAGCTCGCAGAAGCAGGCATTATAGGCGTAGAGGCCCGACATGGCGAGCGAGTAGGCCGTGTCCGGCTTGGCGTTGGTGAAGACGAAGTGCGGCTTGCACTTGGAGACGATGAGACTGTCCATGGCCTAGGTTTCGGAGCGTGATGCATCCGCAACCCCTCGTTCCACTGCTCTCGTCTTCGCATTTCTAGAAGGTTGGTGCGCGTCCGACGGCATTTGCCGCACATCAACACACATTTCCAATATCCAACAATCTGTATACCCTTTAGCGACCGCATAATATACCCCTCATGGCCTAACGCCCGATTCTGCCCTTCCAATTGTATCCGCGACGTGTGCGACAGGCAGCGAATCAATGATGCAGCCGAGATGCATATGCGTGGATGGGAAGCTGTGCCACAAGATCTACCGGTCAACGTTACGACGCCGGGCCGCCGACCGGGATCTTTCAGCGAATAACGTCGCCGTCTGTCACTTTAGCCGTCCTCGCCAACCTGCTTTCGAGCTGCGTGGCGTGGCGTGATGGAACTTCTCCGTTTCGTCTCGTCTCGTCTCAAGGAAGAAAGGAAATAAGGTAGCATGAGGATTTTTCGCCATGCACACGCCCCACGCCTACGTCGTCGTCGTATATTCCAACGAACGCGAGATGCACAGCGTGGGCGTGGACCTGGCCCATGACATAACTCAACATAGCACAAACGTGATAAGTCGCTAATGGTATCAATCCACCTGACATACACCCCCAGCGCCTCATTCACCCACCACACCTCCCACCAACTCGCGTCCTCGCATCTAGATCCCATCTGCCTTCTTCCCTTCGTGAACCTCAAAACCTGCTGTGCATTCGTGGCGCCTCCCTCACCCGCGATCTCGATCGCGCATCTGGCTTCTCAGCCTGCCCACACGATCAAGTCCGTCCGCGTGAGTTGGAGGCTTGACACTTGCCCGCTTCTCTGGCCGCATACACGGTCTTCGTTCGCCCACTGCACCTGCATTTTGGATACGAGAGCGGGAGTTGGCGCGATTGGTCGGAGCTGCGTTGCGGGTACATGGATGGTATGGTGTGGACGGCGAGGTTCTCACGTACATGTATGTACACATTGCCCTGGCCCCCGGCTCCTGGCTCTTGGGGCTGAAGCGCGTGGACGGCGAGGTTAGGTGATTCGATTCGATTCGACGCGGTTTGTTGCGCCATGAGAACTTGCAGCGTGGGTTTTGCATATGTACGTACATATGCCTGGCTGGCCGGAGTGTTGGGCCCAGGGGCGTATGTTTCGTGCAGTAGTCACGTTGAGACGAACTTGCTGGCGTGTTTCTCGAACGCGAAGTGGGAAGTTGGTGGTGATCCATGCAGTGCAGAGCCTGGCGTGGGCGATGTACGCCACATCTTGACAGTAGAGAGAGAAAGTTGAATGTCCCTGTATTGAAATGAAAATAAGGCGTGTTGCAATCTAGAAGGAATGGATGCTGGGGCGGTGTTGCATGATTATCTCGTTTCGAAGATGGGGTTCGTGTAACGTGTTACTCGGGTCTTGTTCGGTTTGCGGTATATGGGCTTTTAATGGGAGGGGGGAGAGGGAGGCATATGTTTGCGTGTCGCCATTGTCTTTCTCCGCTGGATATTCTTCGTTGTGACACAGGCTTTGATGGGGTAGATAGTGTTCATGTTCGTATGTTCACTCAGATACAGCAGCTGATACTGCAATAGCTTGACATGCAAACACCTACGTGGCGTGTTCGTTATATGTGCTTACTCTGTTTCTGTTTGATACTCAACATGGCTCGTCTCGCCGTCTCGAGGGACGTGGGAACCGTATCTTAACGATTGTCTAAGGCAATGATATACAGATGAAATGCTCCATCAAGCTTCACGCCACCCAACTATGATGCCGCTCCAAGATGATATACAGATGCCTCATGCTCACACCCAAGTCCATCACCGTCAACCCATCAACTTATATAACATCCATACACATCTCCCACGACCCCCCTTCCTCCCTCCCCCTCCTCCTCTCGCCCACAACCCCCCTCTCAAGCTCCAGTCCCACAACCCTCGCAGGCCACTCAATCAACCCCCACTTCTCCCGTCCCAGTACCATCGCAACCGCCGTCACGATATCCGCGCCCAGCCCCTCAAGCCACCACACATTCCGCACTCTACCAGGCAACACGGCATAGTGCGCTAGGACAACGAGCGCATGTGCGTTTTTGGCTTCGACCAAGGTGAGGAAGTCGCGGGGTATGCGCGTCGCCCAGACGAAGATTGCGCCGCGGTCTTTGAGCGTGGAGATGGTTGTGTCGTCGATGGAGTAGGGGACTGCGGTCATGGGTGGGTAGCGTTCAGGTAGCGTGAGTTGGCTTATGAGATTGAAGCTTTGGCGGAGGTAGAGGAGGGCTTCTGAGAGGTATTCGCGGTGTTGTGGGTCTAGGTCTGTTTCGCTGTCGTTCGTCCATAAGTTTTCTATGGCGGCGAGACGGGCGTCTTCGTTAAGGGCTCGCGGGGTCGCGGGCGTGGTGGTTCGCGGCCACCATTCTCGGGCTGTGACGGGATGGAGATCACTTCCTACGACCCAGTTCCAGCCTGAGAGCAGGACGGTGAGGGGACCGCGGAGGCCCCAGATTGTACGGAGGGCGCAGGATAGCATTTTGTCGGCTATGTCTGGTGGTGGAATGGTGGTGTCTGGTGGTATCGAAGCTATGAGGTTCTCGATGTCTATCGCGGAGGTACGGAAGAGATAGACAGCTGTAAATGTCGAACTCGCAAAGAGTGCTGCTGCGTTCTCTTGCGTTATGTTTTGAAGCTCTGTTCTATATCGCACTAGAGCTTTATTCATACGCGCCGCTGCTAACGCGTTCATCCGCCTCTTGTCCTCTTTGCGGTCGTAGAGTCGACCGAGATGTAATGAGGCGACGGAAAGTACGCAATTCGTCAGGAAGTCGTGGTTCTGCGCCATCTCAGGAACATAGGTTTGCCAGGCTGCTTTTGCGGGGTCATCGTTCGCGAGTGAGAGAGATGTTGTAAACTCGTAGTGACATAGGACTTCTTGTAGTGATGGCGGAAGTAGCTCTCGGATGTTTTTCCAGGCATCGTCCAAGCGGAGGTAAGGCGGTATGGTGAGCTCGGGGAAGTAGCCTCCTTGATACTCCCCTTGAGAAGGCGACACGGTTAAGCTTGTAGAGAAGTCTAGTGGTATGTCGTCGAGAAAGATCTCAGTTCGGCGTGGCATCTGCGTTGTGAGGGCTATCTCATTACTAAATGCGATGAGGTTGGTGGGCGAATATGACGGTGTATTCTGAGTTTCTGGTGTGCTTGGTATCGGTGATGGTGATATTATGTGCTGTTGTGTTGATGTCGGTGATGTCGAAGTTGTCGAGAGGCGTGACGAAGGAGCCAGCATGAGAAAGCTGCATGTGTCGCCTTTCTTGTCGCAGTTTGCACACGACGGGTGCTTGCAGTCGCACTGAACTTCAAATTAGCATCATCTAAGACCAAACATTTGGCAATTGATCTCGTTTGCAGTGATTCCGTGGCATCCTTAGTAGGCGAGGGTATTGGAACCTCTTTGGTCCTGTGTTACCACAACCCAAGAAGACGTTCTGTTGGTCATGGCATCACTTGAAATTGATGCCCATTAAAATAACTCTCAGATAGACGTCCTCGGCTACCCAGTGGCGCTGGATAAGTAACGTGATCGAGATGCACCAGAACGGGCATAACCAACCCCGTATGCATGAAGAACCAATAAGAAACTCATACGAACGACTCACCTTAATACGTCTTCGCTTACACTCCTTGCATCCCAGCCTCGTCTTGTTGTGTGAACGTCTCGTAGCCATGTCTTGTGGCCGCTGCAGCCAGCTGCTATACGGCGTATACGGTGGCGTAAAGAGGTAGAATAAGATGCGCCTTCTCAGTAAGCCGCTGGGGTTTGAGATAGGTCCACGACACGTTGAGGTCGCAGATACGGCAGCAAAATTACTGACACGATACACAGAACGCTGTTGAAGCGTGCAGGTGACATCGAAAGCAAGACCGATTGTTTCGTAAGGTGTGCGGCTGTGACGCTTCCCCACAGGGACCTAACGCTAGCCACAAAGGGCAGTTTTCGTACTGCGGGGCCTGTGATTGGCCGATGGAACATTCGGAAACAGCTACTTTCCGGAAGCTCCTGCGTGTGACGCAATTCCTGGTGTCTTGTTGATCGCCGTCTGGTGTCTGGATTTGAAACCCGCTCATGATGTATATTCGTATACTGATTCTATTCATTGCTTTTGTTGTAGCGCTTCAGACGCCGTGCAAATGCATATGCTGCGCGTCATCTACCTAAGCTGGGACTAGATGTAGTACATAAACTCATGGCAACGTATACTGTCGTTCAACTCAAGAGCGTTCCGTGCGAACCAAAAGAAATTCTTAGTTCTTGAATACGGTGGCGGAGCTCCAACGACCTGCGGCCTTCGCCCTGTAGTCGTCCTTGACCTTCTGTTCGCTCTTCCATTGAGTGAGTAGCGCGAGTCCGGCTTGAGCTTCTTCTATCGTAATGCTCGACAGTTCCAAAGTCTTCTGTAGGTCTTGCTCGTTCTGGGATTTCGAGCTGTTGTCGAGGATATACCGGACATTGTATCCGGACTGCAGATGGGATGCGCTCTGCGAGTGCTTCTTCAGGAAGTCATCGTTGTAGGCTTTGAGGTCGGCATCGGCAGGTGGTGTGGTGAAGGACTCCTTGATGACCTCCGAGGCCTGAGATGAGAGGGGCTCAGCGGGTTTGGAGACTGCTAACTTAGCGATGAGCGTGACGAGGCATTCTGGATGTAACTTACTAGCTTGACGGAAACGAACGCTCTGCTCGTGCAGCTTGGGGTTCTCTGGGTCGATCTCCCGTGCAGACTGCAGACACTTCAGGGCGAGCAGATACTTGTCTGAATGACTGTTAGCATACATATCGTATGGAATGTGCAGTTGAGTGACTTACTTCGTCGGAGATAGACCTCGAAACCCACGTTCTGAGCTCCAATGTTCTTGGGGGCTAGCTCGAGCATGGGCTGCAAGAATCGTAGTGCGTCCTCAAGAGGCTGCTTTGTCTGAAGCAGCTTCTCGCCATTTGGATCTTGGTCTTCCTTCTTTGTCTCGCCGTCATCGCCCTTGGCAGTCGCTTTCGCGGCAGCAGCAGCTTTGCGCTCGGCCTCCGCCTTCTCGGCCATCTCCCTGTCCTTCTTAGCCTTCTTTTGCGCTTTCTTGCGCTCGGTAGGATCCAGTTTGTCAAAGTCAAGCTCGTCCGAGCTCGATAGCTTTGGGTTGTCCGCTAGCCGTACGTATAGTTCGACTGCCTGAGTGGCTGCCCTAGTGAAGAAAGGATGGTCGCGGAGGTGGTCTTCCCATCTGACCATGTCGATGTAAGCGCGGATCTGGCCCTTCCGTAATGAGAAGCTGTGGAAGTCGAACTGGTCCTCATGCCACACATCGAAGATGTCTGCAATGGCGGTGAAGCGCTTGAGAGCGAGACCGAGCTTCTCTTGTCGCAAGTATGCCTCGCCGTCTTCAAGCAGATACCACATGCACTGCATATCGTGGAGATCACCAAGAGGTCCGCCCACAGTCTCGTTGCGAGTGAATTTACTCATAGTGTTAAGCGCGGTTTCGTTCTCGTTGTTCCGTAATTGGTATTTGGCGCACTTGGTGTTGATGTATCGATCGCCCTTTTCCAGCTCTCGAGCTTGGTCGAGGATTTCCGCGGCCTTTTGTACGTCGCCCATGTGCTTGTAGATCCGAGCCTTTGTCTGGTTGTAATCGACCGATTTCGGGTCCTTCTCGAGCAGCTTGTCTATGTACTCCATGGCCTTCTCCAGGTCGCGACTTTGGACGTAGTTGTAATGCTGGGCCAGGAAGTATAGCACAGCCTCGTCGAAACGGTCGGAGTTGTCGCCGTTGCTCTCGTCGCTCGTCGGCTTGCTGGAAGCATAGCCAAGGACCAGCTCCTCGATGACTGCCTTCTTTTCCTCGTCGCGGTAAAGCGACTTGATGTTGGGGAAGGTAGAGGGCACGCCCTTGTTCAGCTTGCCCCGGAGATAGGCATCCGCCTGTGTCTTGAAAGCCTCGCCCTGAAGGAAGTCCAACGGTATCCGCCTCGCAGCATCGTTGCGCTGATTCTTGCTGGCAAAAGACTGGTACAGCTCGTTTAGCTTCTCGATGTCGGCGTCGTTGGACCGGTCCAGGCCAAGGGCCTTCTCCAAGCCGTCGAAGTATGCGCGGTACTCGCTGTTCCTGCTCAAAAGAATCCTGTAGGCCTTCTCAGCCTCCTCTTTCCGTCCCAACTCGAGAAGGTATTTCGCCTTGAGTTCCAACGCAGCGGTGCGATCCAGGCTGACGCGCACCACCTCCTCCAAGTGGTTCAGCGCACGCTCCACGTCGCCCGACTCGTATATTATCATGTTCTTGTAGAGGGTCGCTTCGGAGTGCTCGAGGTCCGACTTGGCGGGGGGTTGTTTGAGCGTCTCTTCGTACGTCTTGAGGATATTCTCGGCCTCTGCGTAGTTGCCTGACAGATGGTAAGCGACTGCCAATGCCGTCCAGTTCTGGCGCAGTTGTGGGCGCTCCTGCATCATCTTCCGCCGGCTCTCAATATATCCATCGTAGTCGCGGACTTGGCATTGGAGGAGGGCGAGGTCGCGGAGGATGTTGAGCGAGGCCGGTTCTATGCGCAGGGCCATCTTGTACGACTTGATTGCCTCGGGGTAGTTCTTGACCGATCGCCATAGCAGGCCGTAGACGTGCCAGCAGACGTGCGACTTCATGTCGTTGCGGAGGGCTTCTTTGCAGAGGGCGAAGGCGTCGTCGCCCTGGCCCTGGGAGTTGAGGATCAGGGCCTTCATGGCCTGGGTGTCGCCATGGGTGGGGTATTTCTTCAAGATCTGCTCGGCAGCTTTGAGGCCTGGCGGGGTCAGCGGTCGTGCCCGGCGTCGTCCACGTGCAATTGGCGCCTACCCTTCTTGTACAGCTTGCCCTCGTAGAATTTGATGAGCGAGCGGAAGAGCGTCGCCTCCTTGCTGGGCAGTTGTTGCGGCATCGCGGCGGTCGTGTGTCTGGTAGGCGCGGAGCGTCAACGAGATTCCGGGACGAACAAGTTGCGATCGGAATTGACAAGTCGACGCACGTGCGACGGGACCGGGGAAATTAGGGTGGATGGGCGATGATTTAGTCGATGCAGTATAACATCGCGACAATGGGTGTGGAACAAGCAGCCGCGGGAATGGTGGCTGGTAGTCTCAATGTGGCACTACTACGTGTGTGTGGGGAGCTTGAATTTCAGATGTTCCAGTGCTATGACCACAGCGCCCGCACCTCGACCTCGTCACGCACGTGCCTACACCCCGCCTCATGATATCGTTCTCCAGTCAATTGAGTCGACTATGGGATACACAATATTTATACACAGATTTCTAGTAGTACATACTCTCCAACAGCGCTCTACTTGGACAGACGCCCTGATCGCCTTTTTGCAGTCGTATCATCGCCTTTGGCCTCTTCTTTCGCAGTAGCAGCCTTCTTCTGCTTTGCGGTACCGTTTGCAGTAGTCTTGCGTTTCTTGACCGGCTGTATCTCTTCAGCTTCAATAACCTCTTTATCCTCGGCTTCCTCCACGTCTACTTTCGCCTTCTTGCTGCCACGTTTTGCTCTTACTGGGAGCTTCTCCTCCGTAGCATCAACGTCCTCCTCTTTGACCTCTGCCTTGACCTCCTTCGCATTCTTACGTCCTCGCTTTGGTTTGACTGACGCCTCCTCTTCAGCTTCATCGACATCTTCCTCTTCTTTGGTAGCCTGAGCCTTTCTCTTGCTACCCTTCTTAGGTTTCGCGTCCTCTACGTTTTCTTCCTCTTCCTCCTTGACAGTCTTGGCCTTCTTTTTGCCGCCCTTTTTAGGTTTCGCATCTTCCTCTGCATCGTCCTCGTCTGCGCCCTCCGACACGTCACCAGCAACAGCTGCCGTCTTCTTTTGGACACTCGGTACAATGGCTGAAGTTCGCCCACCCACCTTGAGGAACGTAATCTTCTCGCCGGTGGGGAGTGTCTGGGCTTCCTTCTTGCCCTTGCCCCAACGGTGCTTCATCAACCAATCTTTGGGGAAGGCGTCCGAATCTCCGTTGGCTTCTACAGCGGTGTCGCAGACGTACATGATAGCATCGTGCAGTCGCTTGATCTGCTCATCGCTAAAGGTGTTGCTATACTGCTCGGGATGTAGACGAGCCTGGTACATGACTTCGTCACCGACCCAGTTCCCTATGCCAGACACGTTTGCTTGGTCAAGGAGCAATGCTTTCACAGGCACCTTCTTGCTCCGCAGCTTCTTACCGAGCCAGTCCACGGTCAGGATATCCTTGTCGATTACAGGATCTGGTCCGTTCTCTTTCAGTGGTGTGGTCTTCCTCATGTCTTCGGCAGCAGCGTCTACCAATCTCACACGAGCAAGCCGTCTTGCGTCTACCAAGGCGATCTCGTTCTTGGAGTCTTTCAACTGCAGGATAAATTTCCAGTACTTGGGTGGCCATTCTGCCTCTTCAGGTTTCGCCGGACGATAATGTGCTGAATCATCATTGCTGAATTTCTGAATCAGGTACACAAAGTCAGCACATGTCTCACATACAGTCCGTACAGAAGTTACGAACCATCCAGCCTGCCATTCCAAAGTGCATCAGAGGATGTGGCGGCGAGTCCATGACCAGCCAGAAGTATTTGCCCTGCTGTCGTGCATCTACTATCTTTTTTCCGGTCAAGGCCTCTTGGAAGGCGGATGCAGACGTTCCGACCTTTCCAAAGACGATCTGGGTATTGTGAGTCGACGTTCCATCATGAAGAAAGGGAAAACGAACATTATCTTCCTGTGCCATGACATTGTTGATCGTCTTGCCAACGGCATGTTTCTTCAAGAAACCGACAATGCGCGCAACTTCCGCGATCTACGTGATATCAGCAACTTTCGTGCGCGTGCGAATTGGACGCGTCCTGACCTCAGGCATGGCGCTGAATCTTGCGCAGAACTTTTGATTGCTTCGTGGATGTAGTGACTAGAAAGGACGAGCTCGAGAATGATGCGCAATATGTCAATCGAGAAAGCTATAGTCGTGGTTGAGCTCGAGCACCCTGAGGTCGCGCGTCGCGGATCCAGGCTTAGCGCACGACGCGTTCTCACGGAATAAGCCCACTACGTCACCACTCGTGTTCCATCTCATCTCTTGTCTCGTCAACTTCGTGCCATCCTTCGATATTGTTCCTTCAGCACATACCGAATGCAATGCCGACTTACTCTCGTTCTCCGCGCGCACGCCAGGCTGGACCTGCCTTTCTGGGACGCCCCGCATCGCCGAAGGGCGGGATCGGAATGACATCGACACACGATAAGACGCGATTTACATAATCCTCCGCCCTACACGCCGCCCACATGTACTTCAGCTCAAGGCTTTGTCTTTGCAACCCTTGCAATCTGACAATACGGGCATCATGCGGTGGAATTGGGTAGCTGCTGTCGCAAGTGCGGCTTGCGTCTCTTCACACGCAACTCATCATGTGGAAGACCAACAAGCCTTTTCCCAAGACCGACTAGATGAATTGGAGAGGAAGTGGGGTACAGATGTGAGTGTCATTCCAGCAGCATCCGAGTATTAGCTGACAAGTGCATAGTGGGGTTTCTCTGGCATCTCAACTTTCGCTCACCTACCGCATACGCGCTGCTTGACACACCCAGAGACGACCTACGACATTGCCATTCTCGGTGCGCCTTTCGACACTGCCGTCTCCTACCGACCCGGTGCTCGATTCGGACCCCGTGCAATCCGCGCCGGCTCAAGCCGTCAGACGTCCTTCCGAGGCTTCAACCCCCGAGCCAACCTCAACCCGTACACGTCATGGGCGAAGATCGTAGACTGCGGAGACATACCAATCACGCCCTTCGACAACACGTTGGCGTTGAAACAAATGAGCGAGGCCTTTCTCGAGCTGGGAAAAAGACCTGCGACGGAGAAGAGCACGGAGAGTGGGGTGCAGTATCTCAAGAAGCCAAAGCTGCTGACTCTTGGCGGAGATCACAGCATTGCACTTCCAGCTCTGAGGGCGTTGAAGGATGTATATGGGCAGCCGATTGCCGTGGTACACTTTGACGCCCACTTGGATACCTGGCATCCGGCGAAGTACCCGTCCGCTTGGATCGACCAAGAAGACCCTTCTACACAGTCGTTCTTCAATCATGGCAGTATGTTTTGGATTGCAGCCACTGAGGGTCTGATTGCAAACGACTCGAGTGTACACGCGGGGCTGAGGACGAGACTGTCGGGTGATGAACCAGAGGACTATACCGACGACTCGCAGCAAGGCTGGATTCGCATCGCAACAGACGACATCGATGAGATTGGTGTAAAGGGCGTCATCACCTCGATCATGAACCGCGTGGGCACAGAGATGCCCGTCTACCTCAGCATCGACATCGATGTGATCGATCCTGGACTCGCACCGGGCACGGGCACACCTGAACCAGGCGGCTGGACTACGCGTGAGCTCATCCGCATATTGAGAGGTATTGAGGGCATGAATGTTATCGGTGCAGATATTGTGGAAGTCAGTCCTGCGTATGACGGCGCAGCAGAAACGACAGGAATGGCAGCGGCGCAGGTCGCGTACGAGGTACTTACGAGTATGGTACGGAAAGGCCTTATCGAACAGGCACGAACGAAGGTCACGACATACGAGGACAAGGATGAGTTGTAGACCACAGCACATTGATCGCGGAAGAAACATGGATATGAAGAGTATCAATGAAGAATAGTGTAAGATACATTATATACAGAGAACCTAGATACGGAGCCAATCTCTCAGTGAGCCCTCTAACCCGACCCAAAAAAACGCCATGCAACCAAACATTGACCCAAACAGTAACTCCCCCAAGAGAAACGCGTCTAAATACCAGAATCAGTCTGATTGTACGGTCTATCCCCATCCGGCGCGCTTCCCTCCGCCCAATAAGAATCCCACTCATCACAGCCCTGCTTCAACACACTCGTATCGCCCAGCGTACCCTGAATCTCACTCATGCGCTCCATAAACTGCAGGCTGAGTCCCTGGCTCGCATGCCATGCAATGTGACTAGAGGTAAGAAGTCAGTATATGTCTCAAATGCACCTTCGTACAGCCAGGACTTACCAGTGCATAATCCACATGCCGGGGTTATCAGCAGGGAAAGCAATGAGCATGTAGCCGCCGGCGGGCAACAAAGCAGTGTCACGACGAGTCGGGTTGTTGAAATTGAGGCCGTTGGTGGATCCGTCCCAGGTACCTGCGCCGCGGCCCACGATGTAGTAGTCGTGGCCGTGGAGATGGATGGGGTGGGGAAGGGCGATCTTAGAAGTCGATTGGATGTACCACATGTACCAGCCTTCTTTGTCCATGGTGTACACGTTGCCGTTTGGACCGATGGAGCGGGAGCCTCCAAGCACAGTTTCGAGCGAAGGATTGTTCCAGTCTACGACGTGGGGCGTGCCGTCGATCAACCACCGGAAAAGGTTGTCCTTCGCAGGGTCGGCAAAGGAGTCTACGCTCATTTTGTGGTTTTGAACCTCGCCCATTACGGAGGTAGGGACGGTGTTGGGGACGAAGGGGATGAGGTTGGATGAGGACTCGTCGTCGCAGCCTGCGCGCATTGTGACTGAGGACTTGAATGTGGGGTTTGAGGTACTGGATGCGCCGTCGTAGTGCAGGATCGCGCCGACGGGCTTGCCGGCTGAGGCGATCTTGTTGCTGCCACAGCTGCCGGTTACGACCCGGAACCAGTAGTTGTCGACGGTTTGGTTGGCGGTGATGACTACGTCGTACCGTTGACCGATCTGCAGGGTCAATTGGTCGGTGACGTACGACTTGATGGGCACGAAGTCGGAGGTGAGGACCGTGAAGGGGTGGCCGTCCATGGACACGCTGAAGGTGCTGTCGACGGCTGTGTTGATGAGTCGGATGCGGTACTTCTTTCCTTTTACTACGTTGATTCTGGCGTACTTCCCGTTGTCGTTTGCCGCGTTGATGTGTGTGCCGTTGACGAGGATATTGTCGGGCGAGGGGGGTCCACGCTGAGAGTGCTGAGCGACTTCGTTCAGTGTGAAAGCGGGTACGTAGTACCAGTCAGTGATGGGGAGAGTACCCAGGTCGACGTCGTAGTTGGCAGTAGCTGGTCCATCGATGATCATGGTACCGACAACACCATCACCATATTGGGCTGAGAAGTGAGAGTGGTACCATGTTGTACCGAATTGAGTTGCCCTGAACTTGTACTGACGGGTTCTTCCAGGAGCGATCGGGCATTCGGTGATTCCCGGGACGCCGTCATCCTGGCAGGAGTTCAGCTGTCTAATACCGTGCCAGTGGATACCGGTTCCGTTATGCTCGAGGTTGTTCTTGACATTGATGATGACTGTGTCACCCCACTTTGCTCGTACGAGTGGTCCAGGATATTGACCGTTGATGAGCATCATCTCCTTGGAAGTACCACTTCCATCGGGATTGGCCCTGGTAACATTGGAGATCTCGAAGTTGTACTGTCACGTGTCAGCATCTATTCGAGCAGGAATTCTTGGATATACTTACAGTCACGGTGGTGCCGTCCGGGGGAGACTTGGCATCGAAGTCGGTGGCAATGCTGTAGCCATTACTCCAGCAGTTTCGTGTCCGTGCTGTGTTGGTGCAAGCACCATCTTGCCTCTTGACAATCTGGTCAAAAGTTGGGAACTCATCGGATAATGGTTCTGCCCGTAGAGGACCAGCGAGTGCAACTGATCCAAATGAAAACCATGCGGCTAATGAAGGGAGCAACATGATGGTGTGAATGCAATATATCAAGGCGAAGAAAGAACGGTACCGGGTCGGTATATATGAAGAGAAGCTGACCAGGCCAATGGATGTCGAATGGTTCCTGGAGTTAATCAATGTAGGGCTGGGGCTGACCAGAAAACAGGTGCCATTTATATGAGACACGTCGGAAAGACGCCCCCAAAGTGTAAGTCACAAATGGTGGCGGTAATCTGAGCTTCGCCATGGGTACTGCCCAGGGCGAAGTCAGCCAGCGCCTTCTTTGCCGTGACACCGACTTTTTCTCGCTTAGTGCTGCATGTCAGTTGGACCCGCGTGGTCCAGGTGGTGAGATCGACGCCAGGGCGCCCTAGAAATGCTCATTTCGTGCTATGACACGGGATGGACTTGAACGATCCCGGCCGTGGATAGCTGATGATGAGGGCCGATTAGGCAAATGTCTGGCCTCGGTAGATGCAGCGACCGATGGGCTGAAGCCCAGCTATGGCAGTGGCTCGATTACGTCCATGTCGCCGAGTGGGTAGGAGCGAGGCGAAGTCGATGAAGCCAAGATCTCAGACGGTGCACGGATGTAGCTCCTAATCGGGATTCCGGTATAAAGGGACCACACCAGGGCTAAGTCAGTGGTAGTCCCAACTTTACTCGAAACGGTGCGTGATGGGCGACCTACTCGTGTTGGAGCGTTTTCTTAGGTGAAGGATCCTAGGAGCTCGCGTAAGGTGATGGACCCTTGTCGGATGCAAGATCTATTGAATTACAGATCGGGTACTCCACAAGATACGGCCGCTACTCGAGCATACTCTGTGCTCACCGGAGACGAGAGCCCACATGGAGTGGTTAATTGTGGGTACTGACGTTGTGTAGGATGTGCCTTAGGCCTGATGCAGAATCTGTTTGCGACGTGACAAAAGCATCAAGAACGCATGCCACTCGTGCGAAGCATGTGGTCTGACCCACGCGATCGGAAGACGGGAATACGACCGTCCCATCCGGTACCGAGGAAACTTCCTAAGGCGGTTCCAATCAAATGTTGAGCTCTGTTACCAAAATAACATCGTACGGCATATACGGCGATTGAGCAGGGACCAGCCAAATCCAAAACCCACTGGTTCTTCGAGATTGTACCCTCAGCCGAGGTCATAGTCAGGCTGACAGAAGTATCCAAGACAGCGGTATCCCTTCCGGTCGCTTGCTGACGTTGAACGTCCAATCTGGACATTGAGACCCCCTTGGGCTGTGGCGTAGACCGACTCCAACATACACGGGCTTATCAGGATCTTCATAAGCTACATGGTGTAAGAGGACTACATGCTCGGTATGGCATTGCCATTATTCGCCGACTGCAAGTTAGCATGATGTGCCTTCCATGCATGCTGTGTAGCTCGACATGCGGTTCCAGGGATGGCCTTCCGACCCGTGAACTTACTCGGTGGCTTCGAATGACCAAGATCCAGGTCATTCATCCAGATGAATGGCCGACAGAGCGGCCGCTAGAAAAGCTTGTGACTATCGCATTGGATGCGACTATCTCGGACAATCGCATGCGCCCGCGAATAAACACGAACGGGGAGAAGGAAGTGCGAATTTCAACGCTCGGACCGGCATGCGCGGCTACTGGGAACGCGCTGGAAACAGGAGCGCGGGTTCATCAGCGACTGGCCAGCCTATCATTAGTAAGTTCGACCAACTGAGCGGGCAGGTTTGCTGCAAGTTGGTGCAAGAATATGCGGACGTTGGGGCCGAGTGAAGTGACGTGAACACTAAGATCGGTTCAGGGGGGTGGGCGCTAAGCCTAGCACGGATCGGCACTAATTTCAGTGGCTTTCCATAGCGGCCGCACACACATGGGTGCCTTCGCCTCCTCCACTGAGCACCACTTTCTTCCTTCTGCAGAGCGATGCGACGCCTTACGAGGGCTAAGTACTGATGAGGCGCAGAACTGCGCTTGACGTCTTCACGAATTGCTGACCGCCCGCCCCGCCCACCTGTTCCAGTCTGTCACAAGCTCGCTTCCGTGTTGACACTGTTAGATCAAGCACTTGCCATGACTATTTTCATTGCATCTTCGATCCATGTCGGCTTACTCGGGGGTCGGGGCACAGCTCAGTGCGCAAAAGATAAGCCGTATTTGTGAAGAACCTGCTGGGCTTGATCATCATACAAGGTACAAAAGAGGTCATGGCCCACTGACTCTGCATACCACATCCAGCGTATCATACCTGTACTTTCAGTCGTTGACTTGACTTGCTTCAAAATGTATTCTCGTTCTATATTCCTCGCGGTGGCTGCCGCCTCCATCACCTTCGTCAAAGCCGATGACCCCTTCGGGAGCTCCGGTGGTATCTGTTACGCCTATGGTGTTGACTTTATCGATGAGGGAAGCTACTTCATCGACTCAGAGTCTACCGAGGACTTCTCTGCTGTAACATATTTCAGAGGTTGCAACGCGGATGGTATGGCAGATGTCGTGCTCGTCGCGCCTGACGTGGAGGAAACCACTGGCGAAGAATACTTGTGCGACAAAATTCCAACGACACCTGACGATGCGAATCAAGTGGCAGACTGTCCTATCAAGAAGAACCAGATGAGCTCAGGACACTGGCTACTTCTGATTCTGGGAGACAATGAAGCCAACGAGGACGGCTCGAATGGTCAGCCTTTCGCATGGCAGAGAGGTATGGCTTCTTGTGTTCAATAACCGAACAACACATTTACTAAAGAATCCAGATCTCTACCTGACTGTCGGCACGAAAGTCACCAGCACGTATACTGCGACAACCACAGACACCAAGACTGAGACGCCTACTATCACTCAAACTGTCACTACCACCTCGACTGATGTCGTCACTGCTGGACCATTCTCGACTGTCACGATGCCTAGTGGCACCGCTAAGAAGGTCAAGACAATCAGGCCA